TTTTTTTTTTTTTTTTTTTGAGAGAGAGAGAGAGAGAGAGAGAGAGAGAGAGAGAGAGAGAAAGAACACAAGTGGGGAAGGGGCAGAGAGAGAGGGAAACACAGTATCTGAAGCAGGCTCCAGGTTCAGAGTCATCAGCACAGAGGCTGACCCAGGGCTGGAACCCACAAACTGTGACCTCATGACCTGAGCCGAAGTGGGACACTTAACACCCCCTGAGCCACCCAGGCGCCACCGAGATGGGTATTATTTTATCCCCATTTTATATTGAGGAAACTGAGGTTTATAGAGGATAAGTGGCTTGTCCAAGAGCACAGAGCCAGTAAGGGACCGCCCTGGAATTTGAACCCAGGCAGCCCAACTCCAGAGCCCACTTCTTGATGCTGTTATGCCTCCTGTGAGCACAGCAAGTGACAGAAAGTTGGTAGAGGCAGAGTCATCGGAGCTGTGGGAACCACAGAACCCGAAGGGATCAACAAGGAAGAGCTGGCAGGGAGATTCAGGAGCTTCCACATATGGGTGTCCTCCCCTCTCACTCTGACATCAGTCTCACAAAGCACATCTCTCAGTTTCTCCACCCCACTTCTGGCCTCTGCTTACTCACCACCAGGGGGAAACGCTTGTTCTCTGCGTAGAGGTTGTGGAAGCGCAGGTAGACAACTAGTGCAGCCATGGTGTAGAAGAAGGAAAAGATGCCCAGGGTCACAAAGAACTCAGCGGGAGCAGAGAAATCCCCCATCAGGTGCATAGTCTTGGAGGTGGAGTCATCGTCGCAGAGGGGCATCTCATACTGGACCCGGTTCAACCTGCAGGTGGCAGGGGATGCCATCCTAAGCTCGGGGCAATCCTCTTCCTGTGGAGGCAGAAGACTGTACCTGCCCTAGGGGTAGTCCTGTGCTCATTCTCACCCTGGGACTCTTACAGAGCCAAGAAAGGGGGTGTGTGGGGAGGAATGCTTCTGGAGGAAACCCTGCAGTCAAAACAGGAATCTCCCTGGAATTCTGGTCAAACTCTACCTCCCGTTCAGCCACTACCCCACACTCGTCTACTTTGCCCAGATATGGTGACTGTGTAGTTCCAAGGATCTCCAGGGCCCTTCAGGTCACTACCACAATAATCCATCTATTTCTTATAGTCAAACCACCAGGGAGATCAGCTTCATTTTGCCCCTGGGAAAGGGGCACACAGGCCCACAGTGGCCAGGTTAGTTTGGACTTTCCCATTCCCAGGCCTTAGTCAGGCCCCCCAAATGAGACTATATGGGATAAAATAAGGAGAGAAAAACAAACACCCTGCAATATACAAGAGATAGTTAATCATTGGTACTAAAAATTTCTGGAAAGACAAGTCCTATTCCCAGTTCTCCTCTGAACAGTTGGGACTCCCCTCCCTAAGCTCCCAAGTAGCCCAGAAAAAGTATTCTTTTCTGCCTCCTGGTCAAGGTGCACATCCTTGTACTCTAGTGGTACCAGGTGAGCACCCCATGTCAACTCTTTAGGATCTTAGTACTAACAAGTTCCCTAACCTTCAAGGCAGGGAGGAGGTTGCTGAAGGTCAGAAGGACCTGCCCAACTAGCTGAGACTCGTATAAGCCTCCATCCCCAATTGCATGGTTTTTTTCTGTAGGAACTATGTTATACTTGCTATTGGTTATCTATGGACTGGAACATTATTATGACAATGATTGATCTGAGGTTCCCCGATATTTTTCTATGGTTAGTCTGGAAAGGACCCAAGTCCTGTAGTTCTATTTGAACCTGGAGCGGCACTCAACAAAAGGCCTTTAAGTTTCTGGAGAAGGAAGAGACCAAGCAGGTCCTGCCAAATAAGCGAGAGAGGCTGTGTGGGGTCAGAATCAATTCCTGCTCACCTGAAGGGATAGCCGAACAAAACAATGATGGAGCTCACATCCTTGGCTTCGTTGTTGCAGCGAACTGTTGCTCCTGTCTCCCCGCTGTAGGAGCCGCAGGACCCGAAGGCGAAAATAGCAAAGAGCTGAGGGAGAGGGAAGCCCCTTTGAGAGTCGGAAGGTATATCTCATCAGAACCACCTTCTGACTCTTAACAGGTGCAGATACGGTGGAGGGGACCAGGATTTCCTTTAATCAACTCCCTCCTGGGGCGCCTGGGTGGCGCAGTCGGTTAAGCGTCTGACTTCAGCCAGGTCACGATCTCGCGGTCCGTGAGTGATCTCGCGGTCCGTGAGTTCGAGCCCCGCGTCGGGCTCTGGGCTGATGGCTCGGAGCCTGGAGCCTGTTTCCGATTCTGTGTCTCCCTCTCTCTCTGCCCCTCCCCCGTTCATGCTCTGTCTCTCTCTGTCCCAAAAATAAATAAAAAACGTTGAAAAAAAAATTAATCAACTCCCTCCTGGGTAGGGACCCGTGGCTTCCATTGGTCTTCCAGCCTCAGGATGCTGTGTTCACTGCATCTGAGTCCTGGACCAAACAGTCAAATGAATGAGGTTGACTTTGAGTGGTGTCTGGGGGGAAGATAGAGAGAAAGAAGAAATGGACAGTTTCCACATCTCGCCATTGGATGTGACAGTGGAGAATATAGGTAGCCTCCTTAAGATGATAAGCAACACAATTTAGGCTTTTGGAAACTTCTAGGATAAAGGTGGACTTGAATTCCACCCCCCCCCCCAAGGGAGAGGCACCCTAGAAATAGATTACTCTGTGATGAGATCAGGCATGCTTTGGGATTCTTTCCATTTCTCCTTTGAAGCTGTCATTGAATCTTGTGGTTACCTTGTTGCTAACTTCCAGGGGCTTCCAGCCTCACTGGAGGTATAGCGAGAAGTGGCAACTTCCACTTCCACCAAGCCTTCAGAGGGGCCAAGCGGGGAAGAGCTATGCTCCTCTTCCTCCAAAGGTACTTTTCCTTGCAGCAACAATGCTGGCTGCGTCCATGCTGACAGTCCTGGCCCACGCCCAGAGCAAAGTACCTTCCACTTGCCTTATCAGCCTCCACTGTTCCCCCCGCAGTGTTTCCCCTTGTTATCTGTTGATGCTGCCATTGCTCAGTGTTAAGAACCAGAAGCATTTCAGGTCACTTGAATTGTTTTCCTCTCCACCTTTCATCACATTTTACTAAACCTCCTGTCTTGAGTGAAATGAAATTTCCTCAACCTATGATTTTCTAATTTCTTTCTGGGGAAACACACTGGTTAGAAAAGGAGGTGAGAAACTGGAATCACTTATCCTCCCGCATCATCTGTTCAGGCCCCGTTTCCTGTGCACTTACCTTATACGGGCTTGTATATGATGTAATCATTCTTATTAAGCACAGAGCTTATTCTGTTAATGATCATTTTCTGTATGTTTCTCCATATCTTGGACATTAAGCACCTAGAAGACAGCTCATCTAGATCCCAGGCTTGCACCCAGAGTTTAGAATAGAGTTATGTGCACGTGATTTTGCTAACTCTTGATAGCGTTATGGAGTTTTGAAAAGAGACCTGGATTAGGAGTTTGGAAATCTGGATTCTAGTCCTGGCCCTGTCACTGATGAGCTGGGTGGCCTCTAATAAATAACTCTGTTCTCGGAGTCTCCGTTTTCCCGTCTGTTGAACAAGGGGTTTGGAGCAGGCAACCGAGAGGCCTTTCTCCCACTGGATGGGGGTAATACTATCAGCGTGCTCTTGGCCGGGCTTGCCGGCAGCTGTGCTCTGCCCCTCAGCGGTGTCCGGTGCCACTGCCCCGCCTTGCATTGCCTGCCCTGGCAGATCTTCTCCATGCTGGAGCCATTGACCCATCTCTAAAGGTCACAATGAGCACCTCTTTTTCCAGGAGGTTTAGTTCAGACAACTGAGAATTGTCTCCATTGTAAAAAAAACATCCAGGAAAGGAGACAGTATAACTCTCTCCAATGCCTGAATAGCCTCCTCATCTGGCTTAATTTACAGAGACTGCAGTAGAGCCCTGTTTGCTTATCTTGACAGAGCTGAAGAGAATTTGCCCAAAGCCTCTGCATCATTACCCTTTATATACTCCAAGCCTCCTCACTGGCATAACAATGATGCTTCTCTAGCTCTTCCTCATAGGAATTCTCTAACTTTTGTCAGCTCTATGAGCCTCTTGCAAGTAGCTTCTGGTGCTCAGAACTGGACACATAATTAAGAGCATCACATTCTAAGAAGGGCAGCATAGTTTTACCCAATAAAGTCCCCTAAGAAAATAGGTATTCCTAACTTGGGGCAACGGATGGTGAGTTATGGACCCTTCTCTTCACTAGCACTTCCTTGACAGGCACTCCTGAACATCTACAGAAAGATGACACTTATGGAGCACCTACTGTGTACTGGCACTGTCCTAAGCACTATCATTTAGTAGTGAATAAAAGAGAAAAAATCTCTGTCTTCATGGAGCCTGTACTCTAGAGCTGCACTATCCACAATGCTACGTAGCCACTAGCCAAGTGTGGCTATTTACATTCAACTTCATTAAAATTTAAAACAATTAAAAATTCACAGTGGCTCAGTCACATTTAGCCACATTTCAGGTGCCACATTTCAATAGCCACACGTGACTAGCAGGTACCATATTGGACAACACAGATAATAGAACTTTTTCGTCACTGCCCAAAGTTCTGCTGTGTCTGGATGATCACCTTGAGGTTCTGAAAATCCTGAATCCTGTTCTCTGATTCCTCAGAGAGTAAAATAAACCATGAATAACTTTAGCACTAGCTGCATCCTCTTCTATTCTGATTCTTTGAAAGTCAGGAATCCCTAAACACCTTACATAGCTCTTTATAAACCAGAATATATAATTAAATCTGAACATCACACAGTCACAAGATGACAAATCGCATAAAGGTTGTTATGTAAGTGGGCAATGGGAAAAATCTGAGGGGAACTTCAAAGATTCACAGGACGGCAGAGCAAAAAAGATCTTAGAGATTATCAAGCCCCATGGTCTCATTTCACAGAGGTAGAAACTAAAGTCCCAAAAGATTAAGTGACTCTCCCAGGGTCACATTTAGCCATTGTGAGGGCCAGCCTTAGAATTCACATCTCTTGATTCCCTGTCCAGTGCTCTTTCTACTTAATCAACGAAAAGTTATTAAGCATTATTGTGCCAAGTGCTGGAAACACAAAGATGAGTAAGACCCGGTACCTTCTTTTAAGAGTTTACATCCGGAAAAAGAAAAAAAAAGTGTCATGCTCAAACAAATAAATAAAATAAAATTCTGCATCATAAAATTATTGAGGCTAAAAAGGGGGATCTCTCCTATGTTCAGGGAGGATTGTAAGGAGGCAGGGAGTAGCTCTGCACCTGGCATGCAGGAGCAGAGAAAGACACCCTGCCCGAGCCCATTCCACCTTTCTGTACCAGATTTGCTTTCTTCCCTAAATGTACCAGGTGACTGAACCACTGGGAAGAGCGGGAAAGAACTGAAACCATCCGTGTCACCAAGCATAAGGGTTTCTGAGTTGAGCAAACTGCTCAAAAAGAACAGGAGCCAAGGAGAGAGAGAGAGACAGAGAGGAGAGAGACAGAGACAGAGAGAGAGTCCCTGAGACAGGGAAGGGGTGGATCTCTGAAGTTCTGATGCCAACCTTCCACCTTCCTCCTCTTGGACCTGTATTGCTAGGGACAGAGATGGTCCTATATTGCTCTCCACACCCTCCCCCTCCTGCCTCTGTATCTCTTTGGGAAAGATGTCAAAATAACCTTGCCAGTTAGGTGCTGACTTACTTGATGGTGATGATCCTTGGTCAGCCTTGGGGACACTACCATCCTTAGTTAGTGCAGAGCACAAGACAAGATCTCCCCTCCAATCTTACCCCTACAGTCATCTTATTGGTTTGATGGACTCTAATAGTATTCATTCTCATTTCCCCACACCAACTGAAATAGTTTATTTTCATTATAGAGACCCCAGAGCCAAGTAAGTGGCTTTGGCACCTCAAATTATTGATCAGGGGTACAGTTAATAATGATATGACTTATTATGGGAACAGTGACAGAGTAATCCAGGAGGTTCCTTTGTGCCTTACCCTCAAAGTGAGGATCTGGCAGTGATGTTTGAATAATCCAACCAAAGGACAAGTCTAGCTGAGAGTATGCATAAAGAGGAGATTTGGGGAAAGGGGAGGTTTGGGAACAGGAGGAAAGGGAACCAACACTTGCTGAATATCTCCTGGACTGTCTGGGCTGAATGCTTGGATGCTTTACAGAAATTACCTCTTATAATCCTCCCAGTGAACCCATGAGATGGATCTTACCCTCATTTACAGATAAGAAACCGAGGCCCACAAAGATTTTGTTACTTACCCTAGGTACCTCAGATTCTATGGCTAGACATCAGAGGACGCTGCATTTAAACCAAAGCCCATTGACCTAAAAATCTGCCTTTTTCCTTTTTTAAGGAAGCCAGTTCTTTAATACTTGGTCTATACCCGTGTTATTTTGCTAGCTTTCTGCAGACTTAGTGAGACTCCAGAACTGGGAATTGAAGTGAGATTAATTTCTGAATTAAAAAAAAGCCAAGCTCTAAGCCAAGCTCCTGAATAATAAAAGACTAACATTGCTTTCTTCTTACTAGGATTCCAGCAAAATTGCTTTTTGATAACAATGACAACAAGTTTTCAAGTATCATTACGATAAACGCAAGATCTGTGTTTTCTTTTTCTTTTTCATTTTTTTTCCTTTTCCAGTCAGGGTCATTTGATCCCCTTGAATAAGGAAATGAGTGAAAATCCCAAATGACATTTTCACTGTCATTTCTGGTGATGGTTCCTGTGTACTTTTATATTAGCTCATCCTGCAGAGACTCGGGCAAGTGAAACTCACGCTCTGAATTCAGGCTGCTAGGATGGCAGTAAAGCAAATCATGTCTCCCTTTGATGCTGCCCTTCGAATGAAGGCTGAGTTCAGAGTCTAGCCCTGGGCCCCTGGATTTAGCACTATGAGAGAAAGGCATCACCCCCCTCTAAGAAGCTGAGGATCATAAAAGTCAAACGGTTCTTAACTCTTAGGGAACAGTGCTGACCCTGGGAGGAGACTGGATCATTTTCCTAGGCATTGTTTTGTGCAGCCTTTACAGAAATGTGGGTATTGGAGAAGGAGGGCATTGAGACAAGGATAGAAGAATTGAAGAGGGAAGCTTTACAGAATCCCCCCATGAAGGATGATTCCATGGTCTAATAACCTCATTGTTTCCCTCATCCCTTGACAGTCTTTCTCAAATTTCCCTTAGATCCATTTGTCTAGTTTAATGATAAAATTGTACTCTTATATTTCAGGTTCTGCTCCTCATAATGGTTCCCTAGTTCTGGATGGCAGTCACATGGAGGCTTAATAACATTCTTATATGGCCACCACTGGTACTCAAGTGGTGGGTCAGAACAGGGAAGTGGGGGAGGTGAAAGAGCTCAGTCAGCAGTCCATCCAACTGCTCTTGAGGCGGTAGGGAGAGTGGAAAGTCCCCATCAGATCCCAGAGTTTGCACTTGGGAGCTCCTTGCCTGGCCTGTAGCCCCAGTCAAGGTCTCAGATATCCACAGATAACCCCAAATGCACTATTGCCCCTGAATTCCAGATCTGATGATTCTCATCCAAACGATGATTCAGGCAGGACTCAGTGACACAGTGCTAACTCCTGTCTCCAGTGAGTTAAAAGCCCTTTAGAACTCAATCATCCTCAGTATTAACAGTAACTTATTCCCTAGCTGAATTCTGTGCTGAAAGCACATTAATTAAGTTATTCACACACCATTGGGTGTGTGGACTGTCTAACTTAAATCTCTTCAGTTATAGTGCACTAAATGCTCCCAACTAGTTTTCATGATTTGAAAGAATGACTGCACCTGTCCACATTCCTAACTTATACTCAGGAGGCCTTGGGCACTTATAAGGACAGAGAACATACCAATATCTCAAAGCACCAGTGAGACAAGGAGATGGTATTTGCCCTGGACAGTTACAGAGGAAACTGAGGCCATGGGCAAGTGATTTCTTCAAGGTCACAGGGTGAGTCTAATGAAGGACAATATTCTAGCATACCAACCATTTAGAGCAGAAGGGGACCCTCGGGATGGTGTGATCAACATTTAACTAATGTTGAAAACTGAGGTCCAAAGAAGTGACTTGCCTTAGGTCACATAGCTGGAAAAGGCAGGACCACATCTGAAACCCAGAGCCCCAGCTTCCCAGCTCAATGTTTTATCTTATTCTACAAGCCACATTTTGGCCATAGTGTGATTTTTATTGTCTTGATATTTTTTCTTTTATTTAATCCTAGAGCCATAGGCTTCATTCATTCATTCATTCATTCATTCATTCATTCATTCATTCACTCTCTTAGTTACAGGAACCCAGATTACTTTAGTGATCTCGGCAGGACAACCGCCAGCCAGATAGGACCCTGTCTCCCGAGTCAACCTTCAGGATCAGTCAGGTCCTGGTGGGTTTGGAGGCCGGACGGTTTCCCTCGCCCGCCTCATTCCCTCCTCTGCCCTCCGTGGATTTCCTTCTCCTTCTTGTCCTCCCTCCCCCCTCCTGCCACCGAAGAGTGGTATGTGCAGGATCAGAGTTCTGGAAAGGTTACACCCGGGTCCTCTCGCTCGGGTGAAATGTGAGCGCCCTGGGCAAGGGCTCCTTGCACATAGAAGGACCGAATCCCGGACTCCAAATGCCTTGCTCCTCACCCTCCTGCCATCAAGTGCTGGAGAAGCACCCCGGCCGCCCCTCCCCCGCCCACCTGTCGCCGCCCCCCACCCTTCCGCCAGGGCCGGCCGCAGCACCTCCCCGCCCCCCACTCCGGCCACATTGCTTCGGGTCAGCGTCACAGTCCAGGCTCCCGAAATAGCCCGCGGCTGGAGCATCGACTCACCCACTGGAGAACTTTGATGAAGCCCAGAGGCTCCTCCAGCCGCCTCCAGCGCATGCCCACCAGCAGACGGTCCACCTGCGGACACGGGGCCGACGACGGGTCAGGGCGGTGGGGGGCCCAGGAAAGCGCCGGTTTTCCTCCCACTCCCACTCGGGAGAGGGGACGGAATAAGGGTCCGGCCCAACCCTGAGGTGGAGAAGGGGTGGTAAGACAGCCTCGGGCGCGCGGGGAGTACCTGCTGGCGCGGTGACTTGTCCGCTGCGCGACTCGGGCCCTCCGTCGAAGACATGCTGGCGCAGCGGGTCCGGGGCGCAGCGCGGGGGCTCGGCTCCCTGGCCGGGAGGCTGTGGGCACCGCGGTCGGGCCGGCGACTGCTGGCCGGCGGCGGGGGCAGCGAGCGGTGCGGGAGCGCGGACGGCCGTCTGCGGCCCGGGCTCCAGGCTGGCGGGGCGGGTCGCGGGGGCGCTGCAGCTCGCGCTCGCGGAGGCCGGGACCGAGGCTCAGCCCCTCCGGCTGCAGAAAGCCCTCGAGTCCGATTCAAACTTCTGTCAAACTCTGGAGCGCACTTGGCAGCCGAGTCACGTGGCGTGCGCTCGCGAACCCTCCTCCCGCCCCCTCTGCTCCCCGTCGGCCGTCAGGGCGCCTTAAAGGGACCTGTGGCTTCTGCGGGCAGTTTGGCCGCGAGGGAGCTCAAGTTCGTTGCCAGAAGCCTCCAGGGCCAGTCCCAAGCCGTACACGACAGCCGCTCCAACTCATGGCCAAAGTCGGAACTAGCCTGGCGCTCTGGAACGCACGGGTTCTTGTGTTATCTTTTCCTATTTGCGTGGATTTGGAGCCGCTCTGCGCCGTTTTTCTCTTCTTCCACACCACAATACCCAGAACCGACAGGATTTTCATCAAGCATTATCAGTGTTGAGATAAGCTTCTAAACCTTAAGGTTAACAAACTGCTTGCTTTCAAAATCTCCAAGAGCCACTACAAGAGGGAATGGGCAACAGAACAGAAATTGCTCACTTTTTATTGTCTCGTTACGCTATTGTTTAATTTTTTAACAACAAAAGGTATTCATATATTAATGACTTAAAAGTTATTAATCATTAAAAAGTATAAACTCGATCCCCTTTAAAATGGAGAGTGAAAATAGTCTTTGAGGAATAGGGAACTTAGAGAATAATTTGCATTGAAAAGTTGACATTGTTGCATTATGATTGACCTTCAATCGGTGCCTAATTTTCAAAAAGTGTTAGGAGCCCCAAGTGAGCAATCATGAATATTACACATTCGGTTTACTGGATTGTAAGTGTAAGTAGTGTTAGTGTAAGTAGTGAAAGGTTAAGTGATTTGTCCAAGGTCACTGAGTGAGCCATGGGGCTGCAGCCAGGTGGAAAGAACCGGCCTGTTCTTCTGAAGAATTGACTTGTAAATATGGATCCCCCTCGTCACAAAGTCATTAATTGGAGTTCTCCTCTGGTAATTTAGAATGACTGCTTTTTGAACAAACATTTAGCTATTGTTAATACAATTCATTCCCTCATTGAGCAAGTGCCTTCCCGAGGTTGGGGTAGAAGGGAGTGACTGGACTTGAAAGAAACTTCTCTAGCATATTTCCATTGCAAATCTAGAGGAAATAAGAAACAACTGAGTCCCCAATCCAATTTTTAACATGTTGTTCTGCAGTTTGAGGTTCCTTTACTATAGAATAGGAATAATAGTGTCTGCCCTACTTATTGCATCAGGTCAGCATGAGGATTAAGTGGTGTAAGGTGTGTAAATGCCCACACTACACAAATATGAAATAATACTCATTACCAATGGTCTACAACAATATGAATACAACATATAACACAATCAGAAAAGAATTCAGAATAATACAACAAAAATCCCACACATCTAGGAACCAACCTTATTAAATTTTAACGCTTTTCCTGGTTTGTCTCAAATCCATTCTTTAGGGGCTCCTAGGTGGCTCAGCCGCCTCAGGTCATGGTCTCATCGTTCATGAATTTGAGACCCATATTGGGCTTGCTACAGTCACTGCAGAGCCTGCTTCAGATCCTCTGTCCCCTTCTCTCTTGGTCCCTCCTCCCCTTGCATGTGTGCACGCACGTGCGCGCTCCTTCTCTGTCTCAAAAAAAAATTCATTCTTTAACAAAATACAAAATTGCATATAAAACAAAACCTGTGCATACTGTGATATCATTCCCTCCCTCTCTCCTTCCTCCCCAGAAGTAACCACTATCCTACCCTGAATTTGTTTATTATTAGCTTCATGCATATTTTAATACTTTTACTGTATAATGACATATATCGATATACATTAAATTTACCAGACTTACTATTGTTTCTCACATGGTTTTAAACTTTATCTAAATATTGTGCTTTAGGTAACCTTTAGCTCGTGGTTTTTTTGTTGTTTGTTGTTGTTTTTTACTTAACAGTGGGTTTATGAGAGTCGTCTAACCTGAGGCATACACCTTTTAGTCCCTTCATTTTAACCATATAGAATTCCACAACATACATATACCACAGTGTATTATTCACATACTGATGGACATTTAGGTTATTTCCAAATATTTACTCTTCTAAACAGTGTTGCACTGAATGTGTACACACAGCACTGAATTTCCAACTTTCTTTTTTTTTTCCTCTCTCTCAAACACAAACCTTGGTAAGAGACAAATTCTTATGACATGACCATTATATAAACTGAAACAAACATTTCATAAAACATTCTCATTATTTTCTATTCCATTTCGTTAAAAAAAAAATCTGGCCATCCAAAAGCCAATGTAAGTTTTTCGAGGCCTAAAATTTATACAATTTGGGGGCCCCCTTTAGAAAAAGAATACAAAATTAGTAACCAGACCTTGGAAGAAACTTTGCAAGTGAGGGAGCCTGAAGCTTAAGTATCATTAGTTTCAGGGTAAATATCTCTCTGAGGAGACATACTAGATTGATTTAATGATTCACTAATAATGAGTTTCTACCAACAGTTTGATATTGTTCTATACCTAAAAGTGAGCCAGCTAGGGCATATGATGTGAACATTTCAACTTTGAGTTTTGATAAATGTATATACCCATGCAACCACCACCATGATCAAGATATAGAATATTTCCATCATTCCAAAGAGCTCCTTCTTGCCCTTTTGTAGTCAATCCTCACGCAACTACTGATCTGCACTCTGTCATTATAATTTAGTTTTGCTTTTTTCTAGAATTGCAAATAAATGGAATTATGCAGTATGTACTGTTTTGTGTCTGGCTTATTTTTCACTCTGCATAGTTTTTGAGATTCATGTATATTGTTGTGCTTATCAGTAGATTGCTTCTTTTTGTGCTGAATAGTATTCCATCCATATTATGAAATATGATCCATTGCAGTTTATCTATTCAATTGCCAAAGTATATTTGAGTTGTTCCTTTTTTTTTCTTTATTCTTTTTTTTGCTGTTTTGAGTAGACCTGACATAAACATTCTTGTATAGGTTTTTGAGTGAATATAAGTATTTATTTCTAGGGTAAATACCCAGAAATGAGAATTCTAGGTCATGTGTAAATAAATGTTCTTAACTTTATATAAAACTATCAAACTGTTTTCAAGAGTGGCTGTACCATTTTGCTTTCCCACCAACAATGTATTCCAGGTGCTTTGCATCTTTTCCAGCGCTTGGTATTATTAGCTGTTTTTGGGGTTTGTTTTGGCTTTTTGTTTCTTTCTCTTTTTTTTTAGCTATTCTGATAGGCAAATGGTGGTATCTCTTTGTGGTTTTAATTTGCATTTCCCCAATGGCTAATAATGTAGAACATCTTTTAATGTGCTTATTGGCCATATGTGTATCTTTGGTGAAGTGTCTGTTCAATTCTTTTGCCCATTTTTAAATTGGGTTGTTTCTTTTTTACAAATGAATTTTGAGAATTCTTTATATATTCTGAATGTAAGTCTTTTGTTGGATATGAGATTGGCAAATATTTTCTCCCCTCTGTAGTTTGTCTTTTCATTCTTTTAACTGTCTTTTGCAGAGCATAGTTTTACATTTTTGTAAGTCTATTTTTTAAATGGATCATGCTTTTGGCATTATGTTTAACCACTCTGCTTAACCTTAGGTCACAAATATTTTCTCAAATATTCTCAATGTTTTTTTTTTTTCAACGTTTATTTATTTTTGGGACAGAGAGAGACAGAGCATGAAAAGGGGAGGGGCAGAGAGAGAGAGGGAGACACAGAATCGGAAACAGGCTCCAGGCTCTGAGCCATCAGCCCAGAGCCCGACGCGGGGCTCGAACTCACGGACCGCGAGATCGTGACCTGGCTGAAGTCGGACGCTTAACCGACTGCGCCACCCAGGCGCCCCTATTCTCAATGTTTTAATTCTGAATGTGTTTTATTCTAAATGTTTTAATAGTTTTATGCTTTACACTTAGATGTTTTTGAGTTATTTTTTGTGTAAGGTTTGGGATTTAGGTTAGGGTTATTATTATTATTATTTGGCATGTAGATATCCTATTGTTCTAACAACTGTTTTTGAAAACACCATTCTTTCTCCATTTAATTGCTTTTGCACTTTTATAAAAAAAATCAATTGGCCATATTTGTGTGAGTCTATTTCTGGCCTTTCTATTTAATCTAAGTGTCTGTACTTTTGCCAATACCATACTGGCTCAGATACTGTAGTTTTCTAGTAAATCTTAAAATAGGCTAAAATGATTCCTCCAACTTTCGTCTTCAAAATTGTTTTAGCTATCTAGTTCCTTTGCATTTCAGTATAAATTTTAAAATCAGATGGTGTATATCTACAAAAAATTCTTCTGGGACATTGATTAGAATTGCATTAAATCTATAGATCAATTTAGGCAAAATTGACATCATTACTATGTTGTATTTTCCAGTCCATGAACACAGAATGCCTCTCCACTTATTTAGGTCTTCTTTGATTTCTGTATCAGCACTAGCAGTTTTAAGCATACAGATCATGTCCATGTTTTTGGTAGATTTATACCTGAATATTTAAATTTTTTGGAGCCACTATAAATGGTATAATTTTAAGTTCAAGTTTCTATTTGACAATTGCTAGAAACTGATATTTTTCTGTTGATCTAGTATCCTGTGACCTTTCTAAAACTTGCATTTTTGTTCCATGAAGTCTTTGTAGATTCTTTTGGGTTTTCTATATAGACAACTATGTTGTCTGCAAATTGGGACAGTTTTCTTTCTTTCTTTACAACACGAATGCCATTTATTTATTTTCCTTGCTTTACTTCACTGTCTAGGACTTGCAGTACAATGTTGA